GTTCCTTTAATGCGATCTGGTGATATCCTGAATAGCAATCAAGAAAGGATAATAGGGCAGATCCTGCTGTTGAATCAACTATCTGATTAATGCGTGGTAGCCCAAATGGATCTTTCGAGCAGTGTTTGTTGAGATCTGTGTAGTCGACGCACATGTGCCACTCATCCGTATTCTTTTTTATACTAAAATTGGGTTCGCTAGCCAATCTAGATGAAGGATTTCTCTGATGAATCCGGCTGCCATTAGCTTTGTGATTTCTTTTTTAATTGCTGCCTTCTTGTCGGGTAGAATCGTCATAGCCGTTGCTTCACAGGCTTGGAGCCTTCATTGATATCGATTATGTGCTCAACCAACTCTCTTGGGACACCTGGCATGTCGGCCGGCTTCCAAGCGAAAATATCTTTGTTATCCGAAGAAAGTTGGTGAGCGCGAGTTCCTATTTTGCCGAGAGGTGGGCGCTGATGGTTGCCGTTTCGGAGGGATCACCGGTGCCCAGGTCGATTTGCTTGACGTTGGCTTGTTTTGGTGGTGCGAGGATGCTGGGCTTTTTAGTCGGTATCTCTAGTTCTTCTGGGCTTATTTCTACGGCAATAGTGGCTATTTCTTTTCTTCCATTGGCGGCTTGTGCTTTGGCTGTAATTTGGATTGTCTGAACGTCGCAGTCAAAAGCGCGCTTTAAATCACCTCGAAGGGAGAGGACACCGTTAGGCCCTGGCATCTTAAGCAATAGGTACGGGTAGTGTGGTATCGCAATGAATTTTGCTAGTGCTGGTCGCCCGAGGATTGCATGATATGATGAATTGAAGTCTACAACTTCAAACTTGATGAACTCTGTATAGTAGTTAGAGGGAGTTCCAAAAGTAACCGGTATAGTGATTTGTCCGAGTGGCATGGCTACCTTGCCGGGTACTATCCCATAAAAAGGAGTGCTCGTTGGTGTAATCATCCCGGCGAGTTGTAGTCCCATCTTCCTTAGCATTTCTGAAAAAATGATGTTGAGTCCGGCTCCTCCATTAGTTAGTACTTTTGTGACAGTCATACCGGCGATAGTTGGATCTAGAACCAGTGGGTAATGGCATGCGTTTCCTACACTAGTCCATTGGTCTTCTCTTAAAAACTGGATTGGATACTGTGACCAATTGAGATATCTTGGAGTAGCCGGTTTTGCTGCCATGATGGTTCGTAGAGCTAGCTTTTCTTGATATTTGCTTTTGGAATTTGGGGCACGGTGAAGATTACTCCTACTGTTCCCCTGGATTTTTGGAATCCCTTGTCTTCGTGGTGGTCTTCATCTTTTTTCTGACTATCTTCTTTAGTGTTTTACTTACTATCTTTTCTTATGTATCGATCATTGAAGGTGAAGCAATTTCCGATGGTGTGATTTCCTTTAGGGTGCCAGATGCACTGTATGTTTTCGATGTCGTCATATCTTCTGGGTTTGGAAAACTTCCTTGATTTGTCAGCCACCGCTACGGTGTTGTCTGATCCACATTTTCTTTCCTGATGTCTGATGTTTCGATGATTTTGCTTGTCCGGGTTGTCTCGGTCGTTTCTATCCGGGAACCTTTCTCGTGTCTTCTTCTCTGTAGTAATCATCTTTTCTACTGTGCGTCTAAATTCTTCATTATTTCTCGGGTTTTCTTTGCAGAAGTCCTGAAATTGCCACATAGCCATGATTCCGTGAGAGAAAGCTTCGAGTACTTCTCGTTCGGTGATGTCATGTACTTGAGCACGTAGTTCGCCAAATCGTCGATAGTAATTTATGAGACTTTCGCCCCCTTTCTGCTTGAATCCTTTTAATTCTGCGTGGGTGATGGGGTGCGTAATGAAACCTGTGAAATTTTCACAGAAAACTCTTTGCAAGTCCTCCTAATTTCTGATTGACCCTAGATTCAATTTGTCGAACCATTGGAGGGGCATGGTTTCTAGGGCCATGGGAAAGAACAAGGTCTTGATATCATCGTCTCCTCCGGCTAGTTCAATCGATTGCGAGTAAATCCTGAGTCACTGCCTTGGTTTGGTCTTGCCATCATATTTAGAGTGGTTGGATGGCTTGAACTTGTGAGGTAGTCGTTTTGAAGCAAGTATGTTTGCAAAACAGGGGAATCTATCATGCGTTCCGGCTTCTTTGTATTCTGATTCAACACCTCCTTTCAGCCAACTATTGTTTTGGTGAGAGTAGTTCTGCGAGGCTGTCTGAATGGGTGCTTCGCTTCTGATCTTTGGTTGTTCGACTCGGTAGTTTTGACTGTGGTCCCTTCTACTTTCTCTGTTGTGACTTCCACTTGGTCCAAGCTAGTCACTCGAAAGCGGACTTTCTTTGATTTTGATCTTCCTTCCTATAAGATGTTGACATGGCAGGTAGTATTGAGCGGGTCCTTCCGTCGTGCGTCCTTAGGGCTGCTGACCGGAGAAGGTCCCAGAGCTGTTCCTATTTTTCGCTGGGATGTGATGTTGCTTTGAGTTCCTCTAGTGCTTCTCGGATTCTATTGTAGGTTGTATTTGCCGCGCGTCTTTTTTCGATTTCTTGTTCTGATTTTCTTCTATTGTACTCGGCCAGATCTGACTCATATCTGATCCAAGCTTCCTTGCGCTGCCTAGCACAGCGTTGGCGTCCTTGTTTCAATTTGTTTCTTCTTTCTCTAGCTTGCTTCTAATTCTCGGTCTCACCATCGTGCCCCTGGATGAAGGGTGATATGTTGGACTCAGATTCATCCGATGACCTGATGTTGGGTGCTTCTGGGGGGACCAATTGTGATCGAGGATGGCGAACCATGAATACTTCTCGTGCGTGAATTGTTTTGTTATCGACGTTGGTTTCCACACTGTCGGAGTTGTTGATAACTTTAGTGGAGGCTTCAAGGTTGCAGATCGAGTCTCCTTCTTGGTAGAGTAGAATTGTTGTTGTCGTCGTGCTGACTAGTCGGGTACCGCTATCCTCAGGAACAGAACCTGGCCAGTGGACGATGCAGTCTTGAGATGTTATAGTTCGTACGATACCTTCCTGAGCTTCTTTCAGTGGTATTCTGAGCACCAGATCGAGGGACTCTTCGAGCCATGCCTGATAAGATTTTGCCATGTTGTGGAGTCCGAACGGAAAAGGATCTGACTTCTTGAAAAGACTCTGAGTGTACTCTGAGTTGTATTCTTGATAGGCCGAGGCCGCGTTCCGAAGTCCCACCGGAAAAGAACTCGGTTTCTCGAAAGAACTCGGATAAGACTCCATCTCGGATGTGGAGCCTGAGTTTGAATCGGATGCGTAAAGCCGCGAAATCTGAGTTGGATCGGACATCATGAGCTGCGCGAATCTTCCGGCGAGTTGATCTGTCGTAGTCACCGAAATAGAAATGTCTTTATGGTGATCCGAATCTTCGAGGAGACGGCTTTGGAGCTTGCCATTGTCGTCCGCCTCGCAGATCCATGAGCCGAAGATGAAGGTTGATCCCGTTGAGAAGATCATGTTGTCGAGGTCCGTCAAGCTCTCGGATGCAAATTCGCCGAAAGCCCCTACCTGGCGCGCCAGCTGTCGATGTTTCACCACCGATAGCCTGCCATGGGAGTACCCGGGGCAGTTTGTTCAGGCTTCAGCGTATGCAGAACTCGATGGTAAACGCAAGAGACAGTCGATTTATCCTGGTTCGGACCTTCGATCGTGATCGAGTAATAGCCCTACATCCAGTCGTTGTTAGCCTTTGCGTTCGATTGATTGTAAAGTGTTCGTTCTCTCCAGGAACCCCGCCCTCCTTTATATAGTCAGGAGGCTAGAGTCCTAGTCGGTTTATAATGAGAGTTCCTAGTAGGATTACAGGATAATAATACTACTAAGATTACATAAGAAGAATCCTAGTTAGACTAGATCTTCTCCCTTCCTTGCGGGTATCCCGTGGGTCCCGCATCGACAAACACCAATGATCATGACAGCGTAGAGGCTATGAAGGTAGCCAATGTGGACACGCAAAGGCACATACATCCACAATGAGATATGATATGCGCTAAGGATTAAGCATGTGGGTGCCTCATGCAAATAATGAAGCATCTTAAGGTGAAGTCTCCTGGACGATTAGATATCGCTCGGTGGGCATCCATCTAATGTGACATATGAAGTTTGCCAAGGCTTTAATCTTGCCTTCATAGGGGAAAATATCAAACTAGTGAAGTGAGAAAACCGGTTAAAAGATATCCATCTTGTTTGGAAAAATATCAATGAAAACGTAGGAAACTATGGTGAACTAGGATTCTGGATAGACAAATATTTGTATCTCCACTTTGTTTTGCTTTCTCGTTAGTTCTTACTTTGATCCATGTTTTCTACTCGATCTAATTGGTTACATGTGTTTCTAAGTGTATGTGACTTGTCAATCTGTTAATTGACACATCAAGCTCATCGCCATGTTCGGTTGAGCTAGAGCTCAACAGAGGATAAGTTCATTCTATTTTGATCAACTGGTGTGTATCTACTAGTCACGACACCATGCTTAGGGATAGGAAGCAATCCGATCTTTGATTTCCTATGGCCTACGGGGGATGGAAAGATTTTGTTCCATAGGGAAGAAAACATGAAATGTTTCGTCCCCATCGGTCCCTCGTCCCCGTTTCCCCATGTCCCCATTTACGACCCATTTGCTCTAGGTCCAATACAGCCCACCAGCCCAAATATCCTTTGCCCTACCCTAATCTCTAATAAAGGCCCCAACGGCCCAACAGCATCCCACGCCACTACGGCCCAACAAAAAGCGAGTTGCGCCCACCGATATTTTTGCCCGCAGTTCTGCCCGGATAAAGCACGGGCTTTCACAGCCGCTTAACAGCCCAGCCCACCATACCGCAGGCAAGACGGACACAAACCCGAAAGAAACACGAAGCCCAAGTAGAAACAGACTGCACCCCTTTCCCCCTGAACAAGAAAGGGCCCAGATAAATTCAGCAAACCAGCAAAGGCACGACCACCACCGCCGGCCGGGAAGCAAGCTCAAACCCTAACCGCCGGCGACGCCAGCACGATGGCCCGCTACGACCGCGCGATCACCGTCTTCTCCCCCGACGGCCACCTCTTCCAGGTCGAGTACGCCCTCGAGGCCGTCCGCAAGGGAAACGCCGCCGTCGGCGTCCGCGGCACGGACACCGTCGTCCTCGGCGTCGAGAAGAAGTCCACCCCCAAGCTCCAGGACTCCAGGTAGCAAACCCTCCTTTCCTCCCTTCGATCCTCCGACCAGATCTCGCGATCCCCGCCTCAAACTAATATCTCTGACCCGAATTTCTGTCTCCCCAGGTCCGTGCGCAAGATCGCGTGCCTGGACACCCACATCGCGCTGGCATGCGCTGGGCTGAAGGCGGACGCGCGCGTGCTCATCAACCGCGCGCGGGTCGAGTGCCAGAGCCACCGACTCACCGTCGAGGACCCCGTCACCGTCGAGTACATCACCCGCTACATCGCTGGGCTGCAGCAGAAGTATACACAGAGTGGTGGAGTTCGCCCCTTCGGCCTCTCCACCCTCATTGTCGGCTTCGACCCCTACACGGACAAGCCAGCGCTGTACCAGACCGATCCATCCGGTACCTTCTCTGCTTGGAAGGCCAACGCCACGGGAAGGAACTCCAACTCTATGCGTGAGTTCCTGGAGAAGAACTACAAGGAGACCTCCGGCAAGGAGACCATCAAGCTTGCTATCCGTGCACTTCTAGAGGTATCTCATAAATAGATTCAGTTTTAAATTTCCTGCAATTTACGCAACAGGCTATAAACCTAATGATGTCTAGGTTTTGCCGATGTTTTGATTCGCTTAAAATGTTTCTATTCTTTCTGTTTAAGGAACACAATATAACAGTTGTAGAGCACGATTAACATGATCAGGGATAACCAAATGTGTTACTTTTCTGCCTAAGCCTAGAGTAAACCAAACAAGTTTTTATGGCAGCTATTACCTGGATATCCATCTTTGTCCACCGCCTATCAGGTCATGTAGTTTCCACTTTAATTATGTTTGGTGCTGGCAATCATATCAAGCTCTTGGAGCAATAGTTTATCAAATGATAAACCTATTCCTGACATGAGTTGTTTATTGAGCATGGGTTGCTTGAGGTATCTCTGGATTTGTCATTCTAGGCATTGACTCTGCTTCAGGTATTTTATACATTACTAATAACATATTAGCCTTAGTAATGTCAGGTTTCCTTTTTTAAAAAAAATGGAGTAGTCTGTCCTGCAAACTTAATGCAAAACTGGAATCAGATCCATTAGTACCTCCTTTGAAAAACTAGGTAAAAACATGGGAGAACTGAATAAAAAAGCAAACTTAACACAAAACTGGAATCATATCCATTAGTACCTCCTTTGAAAAACTAAGGTAAAGACATGGGAGAACTGAATAATGTTGCACCAGACTTTTCATCTGTGCTGATGTGCATAGGATATTTTATATCTGTCCAAGATGTTTGATAAATGTTCACGGCAACTGCGGAGTTATGGATTTTCTGTGTCAGCTTGTGTTTGTCCTACTCACCATCATTTGTAAATTAGATAGCACGGTGTTTGATTATTATAATTAGCATTGGGTGTGTACTAAGGTGATTTTAGCCTCTCCCTGATATCTACCTGGCCCCTGGGAGCAATTCAGCTCCCCCTGATATCTATCTTGCCCCTATCAGCAAATTCAGCTCCCTCTCTGGTGAAAGACCTTTTCTCAATCTACTTCACTCTTTTGACAGTTAAAAGTAAACCTAATTAGGACTACACCATTCTAGATTTTATTGAAAAAGTTAGGAAATTCCCCTTGTTTAGGCAAATGATGTATTTTTACTAAATTAGTCCACTCCATGCAATGTAAATGGAAACCTCATTCAGGACCTATTCAAAATACCAAACTACGATTTATAATTTTACACCATTCAACATGGTAGGGTGGAGTGGGGGACCTGAAATCTCCAGAAGGCTGTCAATAGGTAGGTTTAAAAAAGTTTTCAGTGTGCTAGGACAGGGGGAGCATTGATGTGCTTCCTCAGCTTGTACAAATGAAGCTTGATAAACATACTCCGTCAAGTGCTCTTATGCATATGAAGTTGCGGGTTGAACTGTGTAATAATAATGTTAGTGCCTCCACCAGGCCAAGAAATTATTCTTAGTTCACAATGACTGATTTTAGTATTCTATGATTAGAACATTTTCAAATCCCTACTCTTTAGTGGGATGGTATTTACTTTCTGCTTCAATTTTTTGCATACAAGTATTCCTTTGCATAGAGGAACCTCACAGGGGAGCTTGTTGATCTTTCTTCAAAATTTGTTAATATTCTCTTGTCATTATGCTACAACTTGTTTCTTTAGTTCCGTGATATTGACAGAATGACAATCCTTTTAGGTTGTTGAAAGTGGTGGGAAGAACATCGAGGTTGCAGTGATGACAAAGAATGATGGTCTCCGGGAACTCGAGGAGGCTGAGATTGATGAATATGTTGCCGAGATTGATGCAGAGAAGGCTGCAGCTGAGGCTGCAAAGAAGGGTGCCCCGAAGGACACCTAATTCCTATCTTGTGCAGTTGTACTATGCCTCCCGTCAACACTTTGTGTGCGTTTTTATGTTCCATAGCACCATCTTAACTGTTTTAGAAGGATGCTAGATCTTTAGGTGAAACTTTGCTTATATGCCTGTGGCTCAAAATGATGTACAATGTACTCATCTACATGCCTTCTTTGGAAGTTTTCAATTTCGTCTACTGTGTCATCTAGACAGTAACAGTTCAAACTTTTTTTTAACCTGATTCCTTGTCATGACTCATGACTTCTCCGGTGATTCCACGGTATCACTTGGAGCCGGTTTTATCTGGCCGAGTCTTGCGCATCTGGGCACTATATATATATGTAAACAGGATGACACCATGGTTTCTCTAGTCGTTCTGGGGGTGTCATTTCGGTTGATGATAATCTCAGATGATAACGATGGTGCTTTCACGGTAATGTCAAACGCTGCCTCACGATATTTTCATTTCAGGCGATAATGCTGCTGCTTTTTTCTACCTGTCGTATTTGCCCTCGAGAGTCGATCAACTAGTTGCGAGCAGTCTCTTTGCTTCTCTCATACAGCACGAGCAAAACCTGATGCACAGAAATCACTGGCGACTTTGCTCCGCTACACGTCAGAGTATACATCACTGCTGATTCCAGAAAGACAATAACAAAACAGCAAATTTGCAGTATATTCTTCATGTTTACCTCACTGTTGATTCTAGAACCACGAAAAAGAATAGATTTTTCGAACCATTTCCCTGCCTGTTATTATGAAGTTATGATGCATGAAGCAACGAACTCAGCTGCTGGGCTCCGTCAGGCAGTGGACTCTCTTTGTTTACTCATTATTAGCACGTCAGGTCAGGCCAGGCGTCAGGGGTTCAGGGCATCATCGATGTGTGAGTGTGAGTCATTTTTTTAACGTGAAACTGGCAGGGTCTCTGCTGCCAAACGTGGCCTGCTGTGTTTTCAAAGATGGATAGCACTAACCTGACGTGCCCAAATACATGAGCGGCTAACTACTTCGGAGAAAGAAAACGGCACGAAGGTATGCGCTCGCACGTTATGTACACCAGGCGTGCACTCAAACACTAGCAGAGCGTCAGCCATGTACTGCTGCACGCATATTTGTAGCTTCGTTTTCTGTGGGCTGGACTGGACACGCACGTTTCAAGTGTCACCGGCTCATCATCCATGATGAACGGATGAAGACCTGAAACTCTTCGATGTGTGAGTGTGAGTCATTTTTTTAACATGAAACTGGCAGGGATCTGGGGTTTTGTTAATTGTTTCGAAGAGCAACAAGTCGTACGTCAGATGAGATCTCTGAATCAGCAGAGGGACTGAACATCCTGGATATGCATGTTTTGAATTTCTGATCCCCTGCTGTGATGAAGAACCATGGTAAATTTTAGTGCGTCTCAGTGATAATATCTAGACGAATTTGAAGGCAATATATATACAGATCAGTACTCAGTAGGGGTTGACTCCTGATTAGATTGAAAAGAAAAATAAGGGACAGTTACACCCCTGTTTGGAACGTAGGAATATCTCCTGATCTCTCTACATGGACACGAACTGAACTATTTCTTCTGCCTTGTCAAAAAAAAGAAAACCCTATCGAAACACCCCTGCGTTCTATAAAAAGCTCTCATTATGGAACCTTTATTGGTTGCTAGCGACTGGACTAGCACAAGTGCAGCACGACGGAGGAACATACCCTGCTTCACTGCTTGCCCTGTGCGTGTTGTATATCTTCCGAAACACCCCTGCGTTCTATAAAAAGCTCTCATTATGGAACCTTTATTGGTTGCTAGCGACTGGACTAGCACAAGTGCAGCACGACGGAGGAACATACCCTGCTTCACTGCTTGCCCTGTGCGTGTTGGCGAGGTTGGGACGTAGCTATCCGCTGGGCACTCGGGCCTTACACCGATTGGATACCTTGGCACAGGCTCTCCTCCTGCGCTATGACCACCGATTGGATACCTTGGCACGTACCTTTTGGCCACCGTGACATCACACACACACAACATTCTTAGCCTGGCCAATTAGCGGATAAAGTGGTCTGAAAAGAGACCACTGATCTCAGGTCTCCACACGTTGGAGCCCAACCAGCTAGAGTTGACCAGGAGGCTGCAGCCATTGACGGATCGTAGGAAGCAAGTGGGGAAGGAGGTGTGCCCCATTATATTTTTATATTTTTTCTCATGGGATCGAATAGGCACCAAGCTTCTGTTGTTAGTATAATAATCACCTCTTCGTTCAGGTTAACCCATGCTGATTAGAAGGGAGCGATTGACAGTTTTAATTTGCCAAATCAGGAAAAGGGAGGAGCCCATGGTTTCGGATAAGAGCGAGGACGAGGACGTGGAGAGGGGGGCGCCTCGGTTTGGCGAGCGGCGGGGCCCGGCATGGCATGGGTAAACCCAACGGAGCCTGCCAACCACCGCCGCGCTCCATGTCACGCGGGGCCCGCCGCCTCGGGAAAAACAAGACAGGGACAGAAAGGGAAAGCGGCGGGCGGTACCAAGTACCAACCACCTAATCTAATCTAGGCGCTCCTCCAATGGCGCTTCGCTATCGCCTACCTGGAGAGGACAGCGATGCGATACGGGTGGTCATGGTCACACGCACATGCCAGCGAGTTCGGCAAGCAAAAGGCCATGGCGCGGTGAAAGTCAGCAGAAATAATCTGCAACCTAGGGCGCGTTTAGATCCAATTTTTACATCTGGTTTAGTGCACGATTCACCGGCAGACGTTTTTCGTTGTTATTTTTGAAAAATTATCAAATTATTGACTAATTGGGCTTAAAAGTTTCGTCTACCGCAAATTTCTCGATCAAATTGTGTAATTAATTTTTTTTTTAAATCTATGTTTAATCTTTCCATACACGTGTCTGCAAGATTTAATGTGACGGAGAATCTTTGAAAATTTTAGCTTTTGGGTTCCATCTAAACAAGGGCCTACTAAGCTCATCTGCTGGATCATCACTGATTCACACTGTCACGAGTAGTTGCCAAAAGCTCGAAGCTACTGTCAATCGATCGACCGGTAAAGCCCGTAGCTAGACGCTACATGTACTAGCACTCGATAAGGGCGATCGAGAAAATTACGAAAACGAAGGATGGGGGAGCTTCCACGCGCACAACGACATCACGCTACGTGCGCGGCAGGCAGCGGGGCAAATATCGCGCGGATTTCGTCAAGATTCCCCCTCCCAGTCCCAGCCGGTGGCTGCCGCAGTCAGTCGCGCATCATTTGCCCCGCGGACGCAGAAGCACAACTACCGGGGGAGGTGGGAAAGGAAAACACACGGGCTGGCTGGCCGGATAACAGCGACCGCCGCCGCCTTTACGGTCGGGTCGCGTGACGAGGCCACGACGACAGGGAGAGAGAGCGGCACAGCAGATAAGCTCGGCTCCGGCGACCGCACGACGGAGCGGAGGGGTCGTTTCCCGGCCGCTCCATTCCATGTAGCAAAGGGATAAGAACGGCAGAGGGCTGCCACGGAGACTATTTACCAGCGCCGCCGACGTGCGGAGTGATTGTGCGCAGCGCACGTACTAGGCCTGAGGAGTGGATGGCTGCTGGTTTCGGCTTGGTGCTAGTCAGATTGTCTCCGATAAGAAATTCATATGGACATCTAAACCATAATAAATAGCAAGAGATTCAAAATTAGTCTCCAACAAAGTATCTATATGGGAGATCTATTTTGGGTTGTTTGGAGAGACAACCTAAATATGGACATCATCTCTTTTCTGGAAAACCATTTGCAGAAAAGATTCTCTTTTGGACCTGGTTGTTGGAAGAATATGTCGAATAGGTATTAAACCTTTTGCCTGTAGCGCTATCCAGAGAACGAATGTATCTTATATTTTATGTGTTGTTGTTGAAGATAGCCTCACTAGATCCAGGATGCTGCTAGTACTGTGCTACTGCTGCGGTACACCGATGTGAGCTGCCATGCACAAGATATTTGTGAGTGGCGCTTGAGCTTTTGCCCAGCGAGCACGAACTGGCGCCGAGCACACGTCGCTGCCGCGCGAAGAAATTTGTGAGCCAGTTTAGTTCGCCACAATTTGGCAATTTTGAGATTTTGTCGCATCAAATCTTTTGGAGCAGCGTGTATAAAGCGATTAAATATAATTAAAAAACTGGTGCCGAGCCACGAGACGAATCTTTTAAGCGCAATTGCCGCGCGAACATTAATTACCAAATTGAAAACCACTACTGGTGCCTAAAATTTTGGCACCGTAGATACTTCTGCCGAGCACGAACACTGGTAGATATTTTGCTGAGCCAGCGGTGCCCTGGCCCGCCGCCGGCGTCACTTCTTGTACTTCCTTTTTTCTTCAAGCGATGCAGAGAGCAGAGCACTGATGTAGGGAGGAGTGCGTATGTACGTAGCAGTCGTGATGTACTAGATCTGTACCGGCAACTTTGTTGGCTCTGGTCTGATACCGGCAACTTCTTCCTGCAATCCAATCCGTCGCTGGAGGTTGGCAGTCGAGATCGGCTCCGCTGCTCTGGTCTGATGCGTGGAAAATCTAACCGCGGCGAACGTATCCATCGGTTTACTCGTAGGCGACGCTTTTCTACTCACTGTATCTCACGAAATATCTCTGCCACTTATACTTCATCGTGGATAATCTCATCCAGAGCCCAGAGGTGATGTTGCATCTGCTGCTCACAGATTCGGTGTGAACGTGAACGTGCGTGAAAGATTCTACTGGAGCCCTGTGTCCAAGTTTCAAGGAGCAGAGCATTCAACGCATGCCCTGCTGGGCTTGTCCCCGGATCCCACCCGCAGCTACTTTGCTTTCAATATAAGCAGGCCAAAGTGTCTTTGTTCTAAGCGCGCGTTTAGTCCCCGGATCGTTTTTATTTGGTAATTAATATTTAAGCTGGACTAATTGCTTTCAATAACTAATATTAGCAGGGCCAAATCAAGTAAGATCGATGTGACGAAATCTTTATAAAGACTTTTTCTTTTTGTGAACTAAACAAAAAAA